GCCTCCGAATACACCTCCAAAATTGGTCCAACCAGGTTTGGCTGCTGTCTTCTCGCCGGGTGTGGTGCTAGGGCCAGCTTCTGAGTTTTCACCCTTGGTCGTGGGCAGTTCATAGGTTTTAACGACTTCACCGTCCTCGTCTTCGACAATAATCTATGTTTTGTTAGCTCAATCTCTTGACATAATCCTAGGAATGCACGTACCGTGTTTCCAAATTGGTAGGCTCTGGCAGGTTCGTGTCGTCGATCTTGGCCCTTTTCCTTGCGCTTTTCCATTTCAGTGTTGTAGACTTCACCCACCCTCTTCTTGAAACCAGAGATAGTCCATAGCTTGTCGTGGCCAGGCTTAACGGCTGTGATGGGCACATGGTCTTCGTCTTGTCTGTGAGATTCGGGGGCGGGTTCGACATCAAGAACGTCCCCGTCCTTGTTCTCAAATATCAAATCATGGCCCTCCTCGTATACATCCACAGGCTTGGGGGGTGTCTTCTGGCCGCTGCTGCCGGCAGGGCTATCATCTGCCTTCTCAATCTTGTCGGTATCCTTCTCCTTGGAGCTATCATCAGCCGCCAAAGTTGATTCGGTGTTGCCTTGTGAGGGTGATTCCTCTTGCTCGTACTGTTCTGTAGGGGATAAAGGCGTAGATGATTGTCGCTGGGGGAAGATTGCAGACTGAGCAATTGGTCCACCAGGGCCATTGTCATCCCAGTTCTTGTGCTTGCGCTTTCGCGACACAACCGATGACGAGCGGCTGCCACCTTGGTCTCGCTGTCTGCGTAAAAGATGACTATAAGGCCCATTGGGAGGAACCAGAGCATCGGGGGGGAGCTGGGGTCCCTTCTCTTCGTCGATGGACGCCTCAGAGATGGATCTAGCTTGAGATCTGGATTGAGAAGAGATTCGGGGTAGTCGGTTCATCCAAGATGGTCCATCTTCGGGAGCAGCTGTGTAAGACATGGTCAAACTCAAGGTGTTGATACGCTTTCCAAGGGTAAAGACGGCAATTGAGGAGCCATGGACAAGAATCGACGTGACAACCATGAAGCACACTATCGGCCACACGAGATATATGAGCTCATAATGATCAGTATTCTCGGGTGGCATCTCCGCCAAAGGTACCGGCTCGCCATGCTCCAATTCAGCTCGTGCCAAGATCGCAACGAAGATCGCGCCCACGCCGATTGGGCCGAAATGACCAGCGAACAATGCTTCACGCCATGTTTTGACATCCGGTATAAACGGTTTGAGGGCCAGCATGATAGGAATCCGGCGGAAGAAAAGGACAAAAACGGCGATGACCACAAGACGCCAAGCCATCATGCCAAATCGACCATCGTTGAATTGCGACCACGGGATGATGGTTCCAAAGTAAACGAAATAAGTCAAGTTAAGCAAAAGATCGATAACGTTGGAAACATGCGACTCTTCAGTTTTCTCACCGAACCAACCGTCGTTGGAGAAACCAACTCCTGCTGCGAAACCGACGAGCAAATCGTCCATGCCCAGGATACTACCAGAGCCGGCACACCAGAGCGCAACAACGAAGTAGAAGACCAGGAAACTCTCTCGATCGATGAGGTCGCGCTTTTCGGCGAATTTAATACCATGGCGAGCGATGTAACCAATGGTAAAACCGTAGATGGCGCCGAAGATGCACTCGTAGAGAAGAACATACACAACGAAATGAAAGCTCACATCCTGTGCATCTCGCTTGTACTGGATAAGGTACAGAGACAGATAAATGAAGGGGAATGCCATTCCATCGTTGCACCCAGACTCGGCGGACAGCAAATCTCGAAGATGCTTAGGGACTCGCTTTGCAAACTTGCCCTTTCCTACCACAGATGATGCCAGGACAGGATCAGTAGCAGTGACACACGCAGCCACAACAAGACTATCGAGCCAATCCAATGCAGGGATCATCCAGAAGATGAACAAACTGACGATGAGCCAGCCGAACGTCATTACTGGGACCAAAAGAAAGACAACAGACTTCCAATGGCGCTCCATGTAGAACTTGGGCAATTCGACCCCGACGGCGAAACATTGAACAACAAGAACAATTCGGGAGAACTCGACGGTAACGATATCGGTCGAACCCCATTCTTGGGGATTGATCAAATTGGCTGCATGAGGACCGAATATTACGCCACAGAGGGTAGCAACTGTGGCTTCACCAATGTACATGCGCTCCTTGATAAAGGACGAGCAGAGCATGAAAAGGGAAGTGAAGCCGCCGAGGATAATGTACACCAAGTGCGGCTTGGTGATGTCGAGATGACTCCACGCCATGTTGAGTTATAGGAATAAGAATACAAGAGGTTCGGTCGTTCGATTGGCCTTGATGGCACTCGATACTGATAGTGTCGCGATCTCGGAAGCGATCAAAGCAACGTTATCGCGAGAGGGAGGAAATCGGGCGGCGACGCCGCGATCAATTGTTGTTGGCAACTCGTATGCGAGAGAAGCGCAACGTCCACGAGGTGGAGTAAGGTAGTAAAAGAGAGACGAGAGGGAAAGACCGTCAACAGGAACAGTTGGTCTAAAGTCAATTGTTGTTGTAGGGAAGGAAGAAAAAGAATTTCTCAACGGCCGAGATCAACACGCAAAGAGCGAACCGTTTGATCCCCGTCAATCGGCGCCGGGCTCAAAAATGGCACAGGCCTTGAACAGTGTCGTCACAGGGCAACAATGCCTGTAAAGCCGGGATGGTACGCCACTCGGCGCCACAAAGGCCTTGGCGGGGCGAGACTTATCGATGTGAATCTGGAGAGTAGATAAGGTATTCTCAACAGAATACAGCCACGAAGGATGACGATAGAAGTTCAAAATCTCCAACGGCTTTCACTAAAGTTTTTTTTAACCTCATCGGCTGGAGATTTGTGTCTCCGGAGGGGGCGTCTTCTAGCGCAAAAATCGAGGTTCATTGACGAGCAAGGGGATCGTCACCATCGACAGCCATCCATCCATCTCACGACGCAACACACAACCAGTGAACCACAAGGTCATGGTCAAGGAACAGGGGGCCCCAGTCGGATCAAGTACCGCCAAGAGCCTCTCAGTGGGGGCTCCGCGGGGCCATTTGATGCGCCGCTGCTTTTATCCAGAATCTTCACGACACCCAAGCCGGACAAGACGGCAATATACCAAGACACCGGAGGTCTATTGTGTTGTTCTATTCAATTTTTCAAACCTGATATTGTAAAACAAACTCTAGGATATACTTATATAGGCTCAATCCAGTTTTGGCCCTTCAAATCAAGACTCAAATACAGTCTCACGATAATGGCCCAGATCACATCTCAATAAGCCTTGTCTTACTCGTCAGCTCGTCCTGTCCTCCATGCATCTCCCTTGTCAAACGCCATGACTTTATTTTCAATCACAACGGTCTGGTTCCACTTCTCGCCTCAACATCTTTCCCTAATACGCTATCCCATATGCTCACCCACATATATACACGCACTTGTCTTATATCAAATTTCAATGAGAATGGCATCCGAAGCCTAGCGACGTCTAATCAATAGTCTCACAAGAGCAATCAGGCTGTCTTATATATGATATGGAAATAACTAACGAGATATGCCGCTAGCCGTTGATTGCTTGAATAGCTTTCAGCTGCCTGGCAGAAACGATAAAAGCAGCGTTCGCATACTGTAACCCGGCAGTTCCGTACGAGAGATAGAACCCTGTCCTTCGGTCTCCAACACGAATTGACATTTTCCCTACGGAGAAAAATGAGCACAAGGAACAAGTTTGCGGGCAATGGATATGACCACCTGAAGACCCTCCAGCCAATACCTGTATTTCTTGGCACTATAGCATTCCCTCAATGACGACTTTGCAGCGCTAACCTCGGTTTTATTATCTCGAGTCATTTGTTCATCGTCTTGAGTGATAGACTGATCCGCAGCATGATCATCGTCAATAATGAACGTTCATGTCGAGCTGCATCGTCACCCCGCGAGAACGTGCCCATTCAAGGCGCTTCTCTCGCTGCAAAAGGCGGCCGAAAGAGAAACGTCCCGGCTCTTGTTTCCTCTCTTGATTTGTGCATCTGTTCCACTAAAATTTCGCGCGAACCCCAGCTCCCAGGCTCTGTTGTTTTTCGCACATGGTTTGAGGGTCTGTCAAATCAAGGTTATTTTTTACCGCTCCGACGGCCATAACCTTAGACAACCTTATTTCCCTATCGAGCTGCGAGATCGATTTTATGCTTATTATTTGTCATGAAACGCCTGAGCTGCCAATGGTTGATAAACGCGGCGTTGAAAACGGTCTAGTTAGGGTTCTCGGGGGTCTAGATCAGGAGCATTTGGCCCAAGCCCTTGAAAGTCTAAAGGCAGAATCATTCAGGCAAGACTCCATCCAATGTCACTGTAAATCCGCAAGATCAAATTGAACCCATTGACAATCGCCTTGGTTTGTTGACGTCAGTGAGAATGATAGAAAACACGCTACCCTGTTTCCAGCAAAGCTTCAGGCTCTTTTCACCTTGAATCTGGGTTTCTTAACTCCACAGCAATAACCGCAAGGTTAATACACCGCTCATTCTAAAAAGGGATCTGCGAACCTCCTGTGCGACTTATGAGGGCATCATGTCTCTCACACACAACGTCTTGCACGTTGCGAAGAGAGCACCAAACTTGAAGAAACGTCAATTGACGTTGCATTTTGCAAGTCTTGGATATCTCTTGGAGATCTAATGGACCCTGGATTTTGGTGCAGCCAAGAGGCCCGGAGATGCACCCCAGGCTCGCCAGTCACTCGGCGCCAAGGGCCAAGCTCTCATGTGAAGTCGCCAAGAGGCAAAAACGTACCAGGTGGTGCAAATGCACAAGAACATGATGTGACGATAGCTTCATTTTGATCGTGATGGAGTAACGCATATTTCGTGCTACAGAGTTTTGTGAACACAAAGAACTCACTGGGCGCCACGCGAATGTGTTACTCGATCACAATGAATAACCATGCGATAAACTTCAAGGCAAACCACTGGGCATCATATACCACTTTTCTCAAATCACATGTATCCCAGGCCAGTCTTTACGAATTCGATCTTGAAGGGTATTCTGTTATTTTCCGGCTATCTAAATGCATAACGACGTGAGCTTCTCTCACTTCCGTTGAGTTGTATCTCAAGTTGTTACAGAAATTTACCAACTCCCTCGGTCAAACAAGTACAGTGGTCCTACACCCCTCAACATTGAAAATGAATTGCCAGCTAACTCTCTCTAGTTGACGACCATGTACATGATAGCAGACATGGCAAAAGAAGCACACATGAACCCAAAGCTGGGAGCATGGACAGAGCCACCAGCTGTTGTGGGCGTAGGAGTTGGCTCCTCGCTGGCTGACGCTGCGGTGTGGCTAGCAACGCTTGGCCTTGTCACAGAGGTCATCATGCTAGGGGGAGCAGGCATGGGAAGAGAGCCAGTGGGCTGATCTGTGTCGATTGCAAGAACAGTGCTCTTGGTGGCAAGGTCCTCGTCCACGGAAGACAGAGGGGGTCCATCTAGACTACCGTTTGACTTCTCATCTAAAGAGGTGTGGCCAGTCTCAATCAAGACATTCTTCAAGACCTTGGTAGAGGAAGCAGAGGTCGTTGTTGTGGCTGGGGGCTGAGTCTTCTCAGGCTCAGGCTCCTGTTTGGGTTGAGTCTGAGGCTGAGTCTGAGGTGCAGACTCGGGTTCCGATTGAGGCTCATCAGCATCTCGACAGAGAACAGCGACAAGATTGCCCTTTTGACCGCGGCTTAGAAGTGATTCTGAGCTGGCTGAGACATCACCACATGATGCTTGGATGAAGCCCTGGGCTTGTTGAACTGAATCCTTGCAAGCAGCACTGCATGCCTTGCCATCAGTGAAGTCCTTGGGGGTGCATTGAGAGAGTGGTGTATCGTAGGCTTGAACACAGGTCTCTGGGAATGACTTGTCACTGATAGACTCAAAGTCAGACAGCTTGAGGGATCCTGCTGAGGCGGAACCAGCCATGAGAAGGAAAGACAGCTGGAGCCATCGTCTTGTAGATTGTCCAGTCATTGTGAAAGTGTGTTGTTTTATGTCTAACAGCAAGAGCTGTAGTTTTTCGGAAAAGAAATGCTTCGACGATAAAGGTATCGAGAGTACACGTTCAATTATATGATTGAATGATTGTGACTTGGCTCAAGCACCAAGCATTGATATCATTCGATCAATAAACTGGCAACTCAGTTGAAACGCGCTAGGGTGCTGACAACCAGGCTGACGGGACCCAACACACTGAAGGATTTGGTCTCGAACGACGAATTGAAGCTGGTTGTGGGCAAGAAAGGTTTATGCGTTGTGTTCTAGTGAAACTAGCCTTGGGAAGATCGTTTCAGCGGCAAGATTGAGTATAAGCCTCGAACAGATGGGATGTTTGGGGATGATCAAATAGATTAGTTGTTTGTGAGAGATGGATCGATTTTTAATGCTTCTGAAAATGGAAGGAATTTGATCGGCGTTTCGTGATGAAGTGTTTGTGGAAACGGGAAATGAAGGTGTCGTAGGTGATGGTTGTCTCGATGTTGAGATGCGCGACAAGTGAATTAATGAGGGTGTAATGCAGGCGATGATGATCGATGAAAAGACAAAGAGTGCGCTTGAACAAGTAAAAGTAGTAAAGATGAAAGAGAGTCCAAGTATTGTTTGTGTCTTGATGGAGTCAAGCGTCGAGTGTACAGCACAGTCTTGCAAGTGTAAGGCGAGGGAGCACAGCTTTCCTCTGTATTCACAACTGAAACGAGTGTTGATAAATGTTTGCTCCTCTGTCGAAAATGGGAACAAAGGAAGGAATACCGAAAAACGGGGAGAAGGGATTTAATAAAAATGAAGGGGATGCACAAGATATCGGGTAGATAGTATGGGGAAAAGGGCAGAGGAAAAGGATGTAGAGAGACAGGACGATCAGGGAGAGGGACTATAGACTACTATGGAGCATCTTTTTACAGAAGGGGATATTTAATGCACATCACTAGCTCAGAGTCTGGTCAAGACGGCGCATCACAATACGAAAGCACCGACATGTCGTGAGAAGAGGGCCAAGCCATTGGATGGGCTCCGCAATGATCATCAGGGGCGTCTCTTGTCAAAGTCTGGGCCTGACGTCACACGAGCCAAGAGATGTTGAAGTTGCTGTGTTTGCTCTTGAAACGGGAAGACTTACAACACGTAGAGTACAGCATTCCTTGTGGCATCTGAACGGCGTGTTTGTCCTCGTATTCTTCTTCGAGCCCTCGGTCTAGACGAGACTGGATGGATTCAGAGAGAGAGAGACTTTCTTCGAGAGACGGTTCACACGTCAGACTTGTTTCAGAACCGTTTGTTTCGGTTTCATTCGTGCCGACGCACAGACGAATCAAAGCCTCAAGCGGGGACGCCAAGATGATGAGGAAAGAGGAAGAGAAGCTGCTCGAGTCAGAAATGCTTCTAGTCTAGTGAGCATGGAAGGTTCTTCGACTATCACTATAGTTGAAGCCTCTATCGATAATATTTGTTCAAATATTATCGAATAGTCCTGCTGAGGAGGCATTATCGAGTCTTCATCGCAATACTTGGACCCTTGCTGAACCCTTGCAGTAATATTCGCCCCCAGAAATTGCATCCTTTGGCGGATCGAAAAGTGGAAATGCCGTCCCAACGGCGACATGGTACAATCAGAATGTGGCGCTGTAAACTTCCGACAGAGTACTCTTTTTGACCATCTCAGTCAGCTTACGAACTTAATACGAGAATATTTGCATCCAACAGAGAATTCTCAACATTCGTAGTCTGTTTGTGCTTGATTCAGAGTCCTCGGAAACCGTTCGGCAGTCATACAGATCAACACTTAGATCAGCTCCCTCTAACCCGTTTGCTCGCAAGATCGACTGCACTATTCCGCCAAGGGCACGACCCTTTGAATCAAGTCGCCCATTTGAGTAAAGACTCGACATATCAGGCAATGCGCTCCCTTTCTGCCTCGGCAAGTCAAGGGGGAGTTTATTCCGGCTGGGTCAAAGGGTTGTTTGTCCTTTTTTTTTTCCTTTCTCCTTCTTGAGACTTGTGATATCGTCATGCAACGGCTTTTGAAGCGTCCGGTCTAGATGAATACCCTAGCTCAGCCACTTGGACACGAGTTCCAGGAGTTGTTTGCTGCCACTAACACACATGTTGCCAGTTACGGGTAACACCAGAGCTTCAAAAGATGGCTAGCCAATGAGGATATTGAATAGCAGTGCCCCTTCAAGCCCCATTCGCGATCTAGACCTGATAATTCTGGGCTGGTTCACAAACTTCATCGTTTGCGAACTAGTTGAGGACAACGGCTTTGTCTGTTCATGTTTCGAAGTCTGTCACTTGCCCCCTTCAGAGTGCGCCTCTTGAACTTTCTTGAACAGTTGGACTCCTTTTGGACGAGCCCAATTGCCTTGCTGGTCATTTGACATTGACAGGGTTGTGATGGAATCGAGTTCAGCTACCCTCGGGACGATGCTACCAAATCACGGCTTCGACGTCATTGACGTGTGATATTACAAAGTGCTCCCATTATGAGACAGAACTTATACAGTGGGATCATCTCATATTTCATCCTGTCATCTCCTCGGATCCGCCAAGTTGGCTCGGAACTGGAGTCCAATCTCGCCAAAGAGAGATCGACACTTCACTTTCGTCACCGCGATAAGAGGGAGAGAGGGGGACTCGGAAAATTTTCCCTCGAAAACTCAAGCTTTGGGTCGAGTTCATACCTCCCTGGAAATTGAATGCACTTCGCTCCGCAATATTGGCTAAGCGGCAGTTTACTTCGTAATGGTAGGAATGGAACGTTATGAAGCAGTAAGGTTTGGTCAATAAGTAGGCGCAGCAGGAGATTCGAGTAATATATTTAATATTGAAGGGTCGCTTCCATGTCAAAGCGCTGTTGGTGATATCTCTGTGCGTCTGCTGGGCATCAAAGTTTGGACTGTTGGCTGACAGACTTTCCAGGTTGGAGTCAAGTACGGAGAGCCCTGAGATGCCTGTAGGCTATGGCTATGCGACAGTCAAATAGATGAAACATTTTCGATGATAGAATCCGCATTTTCTCGGCCATTTTACGGTTATTACTTAGTCGACTAGGCATATCGTTAAAAACTGTGCACACGGTTACTGTTCTCAGCACTTACAGCACCTCACAAAATACTTGTACTACAAACCTTCAACTGATTGGGAATACCAACAATTTGCCTGTTGGGGATTGTTTATTATTTTATGTAAGCTTTTATGACAAGCTGGTCTGTTTTTCCAGTGAAAGATTTTGGCGGTAGCTTGCTGTTAAAGCTGACATGAAATCACGATAGTTGGCCATGTGCCATCGGAGGTGGCAATCGTCCTGTGAGAAGCGGCGCGAGACAACACAATGACATGATCCATGATTATCACGGGAACCCCGGCACGCAATTGTGGGTGTAATGACACAACAGGTCTGTATAACCACAGCCTAAGTCCAACTCCAACGCAGACTTTTCATCCTCATTCATTCTTCGCAAGTTCAAGGACTGTACATACCAACACCAAAACCTTTCCAGGTCAACTTTGGAGGATAAAATATTTTTCTTACCCTGAAGCCTCGCTGGAAATATTGTCTGAGTGGAATGGATATATATCAAAGTTATAACGCCATTACCAAGAACAGGATCGATAGCTCAGTGGTAGAGCGAGGGATTGCAGATCCCTAGGCCGCGTGTTCGAACCACGCTCGGTCCTCTCTTTTGCCAGCACAACGACCCCACGATTTGGCGTCGTGTCCTTTTTTGTGCCTCAACGCCACGTCTGCATCTAAGACATATATGCACAACCAACATCGTCAAAGACGGAAATAAGTCAGGGATCGATAGCTCAGCGGTAGAGCGAGGGATTGCAGATCCCTAGGTCGCGTGTTCGATCCACGCTCGGTCCTGACCTTTTGTCCTTTGATGAGGATGACTCAATCTTTTTGCTTTGGCCGATGACTCTGCTCCAGACGCCCACGACGTGCATGCTCGCCAAGAATCGCCCCAATTGCATTGTGTGACCAGTGACCAGTCTGGCAGGGCCACCTGTAACGGATCAGACTCCCGGCCTATATCTTTTGCCTTCAACCAGACACCGTCAGCGACAAGAAGGACTTCTCCCCTTACTGTGCATTATACATGATCACTATAAACACTTTGTCACTCTACCGTTCTGATTATCGTACTATATTCGGATTTCTTAAACTTCAGCACGCTGGTTAAATGATACGCCCGAGAACCATGTATTAATTCCTTTAATAGATATGTCCTTGTCTAGTGTAAGCTATGGAGGCCCCTCTAGTCTACAGGATATTGACAATATCATTTGAAATTTGATGAACGTTAACACCAAAGTCTGAAGGGGTAGTCTGTTATCCATGTTAGCTCCCACCCATATCGTAAAGAGACATGCAAAACTTCTTACCTGAAGGTAGAGAATACCATCTTCTATGACAGTCTCGTTGTAGGACCTCTTGGTCTTGTCTACAACGCGGACATGAACAGCATGCTTGTCCATGGCCTCGAGGAGTCCCTCCTGAAGCATATCATCCTCACCGAACTTGTCATACTCAAGCTGCGAGACCAAGCCTTCAAGATAGGAGAAATGAGATCTTCCAAAGTTTTGCTCCCAACCGCTATCAGCACTAGCCTTGCCCTTGAGCTTTTCAAAGTTAGCTTCAAAGTTAGGCACGATGGTGATCTCTTGACCGAGGATCTTGTTCAGCTTCTCCTGGATCTGCTGAACGTTGGGGTCATAGTCGCTCCTGATAGAGGCCCTGGCAACAAAGCTCATGGGTCGAACAGTAGAAGGAGCCTCGTTCAAGGCCTTGGTGAGATTGTTGGTGTCAGCAGCATAGTTGGTGTTGGTACCCAAGTTGCCCTTGGTGAAGAGGATGATGAGTTCACCCTCAGGACCAACCTTGGTTCCGCAGTAAGAAACAGTGTTCTTCTCATCAAAGTCCATGGTCAGGACATGGCCGGAGCAGATTTCGTTGATCTCATCCTTAGCCCCATCTCCATTTTGTTCAATGAAGTACTTCAATTGATATTCAACGCCCTCAACATAGCTAAACAGAAGGGGTAACAGTTAGCAAGTTATTAACGATGGCCACTTGATCCACTAAGACATGCTTCTTGCTGATAACGACCAAGGCGTACGGCTTAAAAGGGAAACGAACCTGACAATGAGATCACCCATGGAGGTGTGGCCCCAGGAACCCTCTTCGGCATAAGGATAGAGGGCTTTGGGATCAATGTTGATAGTCCATGGCTGACCAAGAGTCTCTGAGAGCTTCTTTTCGTGGTCCTCCTTGGTGTTCTCCCAGCTGTCTCGGACTGGAGCCTTGTTAGTGATATCATCACGGCTGGTCTATGGAAGATACCTACTGTTCTTGCGGACAGCAAGGGGTAGTTTCTCAGCAGGTGGAAGTCGAGACATGATGACAGAAGAAGGAGATCTTAGTTGTGAGTTGGTTGACTGGTTTAGAGAGTTGCTGATACCCAGATCAGAGTCTTGCGGTGCGAGACTGGCTTTTATGCTCGTTTCTGGCATCTGAACCCCTGACGACCTGCCATATCAGCCTAGTCTCAGAGTCTCAACCGGCAACTGATGTGCCGGTATTATCTGAAGCTAGACTGTGTATACAGTAGTCAAGCTGCAAGCGTGTAGCACTTGACAACGCCGACCATTGCCATGACAAGGCTTCAATCCAGCCTGTGGCCAATAGCACGTGCTGGAGTCAAGGGCAAACATGCATTTCGCAGAGTTGACCAAGTTACCCATAGCCACATGGCGTTTTCCCCATGCCGAGAGCTGCCTAGATTGAGGACCCTGCGTGTAGCTGCCTAAGCCCTATTGGAAGGGTGCAGATAGGAATGTTGGGGAGAAATTGCGGTGATGGTTGTTTTTTAATCTGCCTTACAACGCCAAAACGCCCAGCTGAAAACATAGCGCTGCTTAGCGTGTGATACCCCGACGAGCGTGAAGCCGCATTCCCTTGGCAGAAAGAGGAGTATCAACTTCAGGGGTTCACTTAACCGACAGGTAAATAATAATGGAGATCTGACTTCATTTCATCATCTCTCGCTTTATCGTGGATGTTGCTCATCTCAAGGTCGACCTCTCAATTCTATAGCATAGCATCAACCATGTCTCTGTAAGTTGGCCTGGACAGCGCCTATCTCTCATTGGCTGGTTTACTGATTCACGCAACTATCAGCCCACTGAAGGCCAAAGTCTCGATCCGCGATAATTGGGAAAAGCCCGAATGTCGTGCTCAAGAGTCTATGAAAAAACTGAAAGACGTGCTCGGTCTTGATGTTTACTGTGAACCGCAATGGCAAATTCTTGTGTCCGAGCTGGGGAGCTTTTGGGAAGACAAGGGCGAGCTGGTTTCTTCAGTGGCATTCTTCGTTCATGTTTGGTTTGAAGCACTCACCGAGTTGCTTGATGATGAAGCTCATGAGGCTTGGACGGACACTGTCCTTACGAAAGTCAGAGAGCTGACTTCAAGGTTGAACTTGACGGTTGAGGTATGTTACTCATAGTTGATGCGGGTTCGGAGCTGACATGGTATATCGCAGGTATCAGAGAATCAACGACCTTCAACCAAGTGGTCCGATGCACAACTTGGATTCATTCTGTATATCCCCAAAGATCTAATACACCAGCCAGCTCAGTATTTCGGTCTCTTTAAGGAACAGCTCCTTGAATGCTTCGAAGAAAATCGGCCGTCCAAGACGTTGCCCATACACTCCACCACGGGTGATGAATGGGCAGATGTTGGAGCAGAAGATCGAGAAGAAGAGCTTGCGAAACCTCCAAAAACAGGCGATCAAGCACCAGCTGTTGATTATCTCCCAGACCCCAACACTATGCCGAAGCCTAGTGCACTTTTCCAGCAAGCTCCCTATCATCTCTTCGTGTATACCTCGGCATCAAACAGGAGCTACAAGATTGAAATTGAATGTAGTCACAGCCAAACTTTGGAAGTTTTGGCCGAGTACTTGAAAAGATGGACAAAGACCAACGTCAATCGTGTAGATAAGGCCAGTATCTCCCTCGTTCATAGCATTTTGAGAAGGACATATCTAACACATCCTAGCCTCCTGCGGTGGAGATCACACTCAACCACGCCGCCTCTGGCTTTGGACTCGAGTGTGATAAACTCACCCTGCATTGTGAGAACAGATATGGACCTATCTACAACATATCTGCTGCTGCAATTTTGAATTTGGTTGAGGGAGTGTTCGGGTATGAAAGAGTCTATGGCGATTCCACTTCATGGCACTACCGAAGAGACACACCCTTCAAGAAGCGATGAAGGATCAGATGTCGATCAGCCATATGTTTTTAGATATAGCATATAATGATCATAGAGTCGAATAGCAAAAAGAAAAACATACAACACCGAGGATTCGCTGGTCGTCACCGACCCAACTACTAATTCAGCACTTATCAGTTTATCGAACGGAGAGCGGACGGGATCCCGAGTTGTCTAATAGCTATGGTCGTATGTGCTGAGCTTTGCAGTTGCTAGACATTATAAGGTAAATGGTTGTTGGCCGTGACGCATGTTTGATCACGGGGCTACCAACCCAGCTCCGACAACACAATACACAAAGGGTAACAAAACCCTTATTATCAAACTAATTTTGATTCTGCAAGTCGAGTGGAATCTCTCTCTATAAATCGACTATTCCCCGGAACAAATTGTGATGTATAGTGGATATAGCTTCAGCTCCTTCAGAAGGCCAAGTACGAATACGAATGCGACAACCTTCAAACGTATTCGGCATCAATACAACCTCCCTATGCGGTGAAAAGAGAGATATCAACTCCAGAAACATATAACAAACCCAGTTTAGTGATGATTCAGGCTTACGATCGGAGAAGAACAATTGGTCGAGATTGAGGCCGCGAATCCTTCTGCGTATCAGGATGTGATAACCGACAGTACGCTCCAAGACCTTGACCTGCGGCGAAGCCTGGCTCGCATTCATGGGATAGTTGAAGCCAGTCCGGGTTGAGAGACAAGAATAAAAATGGAACTGGCGGTATTGTTTTCCTAGAAGAGATCTGGCTCTCCTTCTGTCCATATAAACTCCCTGATTCCCTCAACTTCACAACTCATCCAACAAACCCCAGACATCTCTTCTCTCGCCAAATGTTCTCACTCCTATACTACCCTCTATGGGCCTTTGCTTCCTGCCTAGTTATCATCACTCTCAACGTCTTATACCAGAAGCTCCCTCGAAATGCCAACGAACCTCCGTTAGTGTTCCACTGGCTTCCATTCTTTGGGAATGCTGTTGCTTATGGACTCGACCCTTATGGCTTCTTTGTGAAGTGTCGAGAAAAGGTTGAGCACACGTCTTCTTTACGTTTCAATTCTGGTGCTGACTTCTTTCCTAGCACGGCGATGTCTTCACCTTTATCCTCTTCGGTCGAAAAATCGTTGCCTGTCTTGGTGTTGACGGCAATGACTTTGTTCTCAACAGTCGAATTCAGGACGCCAACGCCGAAGAAATCTACAGTCCATTGACAACGCCTGTCTTTGGTAGTGATGTCGTATACGATTGTCCCAATTCGAAGCTCATGGAGCAAAAGAAGTTTGTCAAGTTTGGCCTTACACAAAAGGCTCTCGAGTCCCATGTCCAGTTGATCGAGCGAGAGGTTCTGGAGTACATTCAAGCTGTACCTTCATTCTCTGGAAAGTCTGGCACAGTTGATGTATCCAAGGCAATGGCTGAGATAACCATCTTCACTGCTGCTCGCTCTCTGCAGGGCGAAGAAGTTCGACGGAAGCTTACAGCTGAGTTTGCAGCTCTGTATCATGACCTTGACCTAGGCTTCACTCCTGTAAACTTCCTGTTCCCTTGGCTACCTTTGCCTCATAACCGACGTCGAGATGCTGCTCATGCAAAGATGAGAGAGATCTACATGGACATCATTAACGAACGAAGAAGAGGCGTAGGGGACTTGGAGAAAGGAACTGACATGATCGCCAACCTGATGAATTGCGAGTACAAAAACGGGCAGCCGATTCCGGACAAAGAGATCGCGCACATGATGATCACTCTTCTCATGGCTGGACAACACTCTTCGTCATCTGCTAGTTCATGGATCATACTACATCTGGCTTCATCCACTGACATTGCTGAGGAACTCTACCAAGAGCAACTCATTAACTTGAGTGCCGATGGTGTTCTCCCTCCCCTTCAGTACTCCGACCTCGACAAGCTTCCCCTTCTTCAGAATGTCGTCAAAGAAACACTCCGTGTTCATTCTTCCATTCACTCCATTCTGCGAAAGGTTAAGAGACCTATGCAAGCACCTGGATCACCTTACACCATCACCACAGACAAGGTTCTCCTCGCTTCACCAACTGTTACAGCGTTGAGTGAAGAACACTTCACAGACGCCCAAAGATGGAATCCTCATCGGTGGGATAACAAACCCCAGGAGGAGGCCGTGACGTACGATGTCATTGACTACGGCTACGGCGCTGTTTCTAAAGGAACGAAGAGCCCATACTTACCCTTTGGCGCTGGTCGGCATCGCTGCATCGGGGAGAAGTTTGCTTATGTCAACTTGGGCGTTATCGTTGCGACTTTGGTGCGCAACTTCAGACTGTCGACTCTTGATGGCAAGCCTGGTGTTCCAGCAACTGACTACACTTCTCTCTTCTCAAGGCCAGCCCAACCTGCATACATAAACTGGGAGCGCAGGAGGGCTTAAATACTTGGCAATGGGGGAGAAGAGTAGTAGTTCGTACGTATAAACGAGTTCCATAGACAACTTATGATGAGTGCATCACATATCGATATCATTTCCGAAATGGACTACATAATAATAGCTACTGTTTCTATTGTAGAAGCTAATACAGAAAGAGGAGCATGCGCACGGCTTCGTTTTCGTGTTCTTCAATGAATCGTCACCCTTAGGTATCACCTAGCAACCATGGTATATAAAAAAGATGCCCTATTTGCACAATTCCACCTCTACTGTTGCGAACCGCCTTGTCCGTTGGCACCGCCGGCACCGGCACCGGGACCACCAGCACCTCCGAAGGGGTTGCCACCACCGCCCATCATGTTTCGGGCCCTGAAGATTGAGTCAGTGACTATGAATAGTGGCGGGAGCAAAATGGGTAACTTACATCTCTCCAATCTGAGGATCGGACATGAGGCTGTTCAGATCAGGCATACCACCACCAGTAGAGTAGCGATCGGCCATCTCGCGTAGACGGGGGTTGCTCATGAGGTTGTTCATAAGGTCAGGGTTGCTCATGAGCTTCTGGGCCATGTTTGCGAACATTGGGTTGCTCATGATGCTACCGAGATCGGGCATACCACCGCCCTGGCTACCAGCACCACCACCGCCGAACATGCTGGCAAGGTTACCAAGATCGGGCATGCCACCAGCACCGAGATCACCACCGGCGCTAGGAGAAGCACGGGGAAGAGAGTCCTCCTCAGCCTCCATCTCTTGAACACGTCGCTTGGCCGTCTCGTAGCCCTTCTTCATAGCGTCAGAGCCACCGTTACCTTCATGCTGGATACCGCGGTCGTATGCCTCCATAGCACCACGAGCGTCGCCTAGGGCGAAGCGAGCAAGACCAAGTCGGGACCAGGCCTTGGTATAAGCGGGGTCGATGGCTACGGCAGCCTCGGCGTCAGAGCGGGCGGAAGCGTGGTCCTTGTTGGCCGAGTGGGCAGCGGCGCGGTTGGAGAGGTAGACAGCGTTGTTGGCGTTGATAGCCAGAGCCTGAGTGTAGAAGTCGATGGCAGCACGGTAGTCCTTCTGTGCCATGGCAGCATTTCCCTTTGACTTCAGGGCCTCGGCCTCCTTCTTCTGCTCGTCGGTGAGCTCGACGGGTGCGGGTGTAGGAGCAGCGGCCGCGGGCTTGTCGGCGCGGGCCTTCTCGAAGACAGAGTAGATCTGGAGGAGGTTCTGAGATCCGATGGCGGCTTGGACAGCGGAGGTATCGGAGGGATCGACCTTGAAGGATTCGGCGATACAGTTGATAGCCACATCGATGGAGTCCTTGTCGTCAACGGTGAGAGTGCCGTCATTTGTCGAAGCGGAGAGGAAATCGCAGATAGCGAGCGCCAGGCGCTGCTTGGAGTTGTGAGTAGACGCCTGCAGGAGAGTATTAGCCACATGTCAAGAGTCATGACGAGTATATAGTGCAGTCGTGCTTGATACTGCGGGGGATTGCACTGACCATGGCGAATGGAGAGAACCTGAAGGACAGGTTTAGACGGGAGGTGGAAAATAAATGGAAGGAAGGCAGAAGATACAAGTCTAATAGAAAAGATCCAATTGAAACAAGAAGCGGGTAGGGTTCGGTGTGCAGGAGGTCAAGGTAGATCTCAGAAGTGCAGGCAAAAAAGGGCCCCGCGGTTGAGGCGTCGTGGAGTTTGGGCTGGAAGGTTCCACGTGGGGCCTGGGAGCAACCGAATCTGTGCTGCAGCTGCGGGGGAACGACACCCGACAGTTAATCTTAGCGATATAAGTATACCCAAAGATCCATGATATTCGTAACCAAATAATTATACTTTGACTTTTAATGCCCGCTGGAATAGCACTTCATGCAGCAGAGTTTCACCTGAGAGGCTGCCATTCGTCGTATCATATTGGCCAATGAAAGTATTATCAACATATAAACTTCCTGCGAATCTAAATGTCTCCGTGGCTCAAAGAGTTGAATGGTTTATTCTGGTATATCTCTGTAGTATCTCGCTATAGCAATGCCCCTTCGTTCCTGAAGCAAAAGCCCCTGGCCTGGCTATACAAATCCATAACGCCGGTTAATGCAATCATTATGACAGCGTCCATCCCTCCCTCTCTCCAGAGGAGGCATTACCCATCTCGAGCTTCTCATTTCCCAGCTCGTCGTCGGGCTCTGTCAACGTTCTTGACCTTCCTGTTCCCTATAGCAGCTACCTTGCGGTACTTGGTATACAGTCTAAGAAAATCCTTGAGTACCACGTAGAGGCACCCACCGACGAGACTTCGCCCCCATTGTTGCTGGAGCAGTCCAGGACGCATAGTGCTTCCCCGCTGAAAGGAAGATGCAGCAGTCCATTGCTTAGGTAGGGATAGGCGTAGAAGCTCACCCATGGCAAACGACACACCAGGAAGGATCAGTGCGCTTACTATGGCATTGGATACTCCGGATAGAATCGTTCCTAGGCCGGGTCGGCGGGCGGGCGGCGCTTGGGGAGCTTCATGTTGGTTTTGTTGAGCAGCTTGATCCCCATCTCCTGCATCAGGTACAACAGCTGGGACGGCAACTGCATCATGGGCCGGTTCTTCAGGAGCATGGGCTGGGTCATGAGGCTCGTCTGCTGCCCCTTGAGCCTCCTCCTCTGCCGGACGCGGCGCAGGTGCATCGTCGACAGGTCCCTGTGGAGCCATTTCGTTTTGTCCTGCTGGCCTAGCATCAAAGCCTTCTTGGTCATCTCTATCAACCTCCTCGATGACCAGTTCGATAACAACTCCTCCGCCCTGCTCACCATCCGCGTCTTGACCGCCGGCGCCAGCATCATCCTGGCCATCCTCATCGATGTCATCGCCTTCGAGAGCTTCAATGAGCCCATTTAGAAAACCCACAACACCGCCTTCTCCGTTCCGTTGTTCGGGTTGTCGCTCGTTGGCAGGAGGCTGATCTCGTCGGGGTTCGACTGGGGGAAGCCCCATGATCTGCCGGTTGAGGTTGACTTCATAAGGGAAGACAAATTCGCGCCAAAGGTTGAGGTAGGCAGACCGCACGTAGGGAAACACTGCCATCGCGAGTTGGGGTGAAGGAGGCCAGGTCAAGAAGGTGTCGTCATGCATGACTTGATAAACGCCATACTAGTGATTTGTTAGTAGTTGTCATTATTTGCTAGAACCCTAACTTACCAGTGAAGCCGTAGACAGGAAGATCTTGTTCCCAAACCATGGCATAAGCTGTCCGACCAGCAGAGCCGGTCCCACGTTGGTTAAAACCAGTGCATTGCCTAGTCTTTCACCCCCAGACATCAAAATTCGTGATGCCTCCCCATGAACCCAGATCTCATGACCAAGAACATAGTCGACTAGAGCCTCGCGGCCTGAGAAAGCCCACATAGCGAAAGCGCCATACATCTGGAGACTGAACTGCACTCCGAGTGTGACAGAGGAGAGCAACATGAAAGGACTCGCGCGAGTGAACTTGTTTGCGATGGCATCCGTCATAACAACGATAGGATCCCATAGTCCTTCCAGCTGAATGCGATCCTTGCATACTGGACACTGGAGAGGTTTGTTGGAGCGTTCACAATCCGTTACCCATGAAAGCATGCAGTCCTGGTGGGCTTCGAGGGTGCATCCGCAGGGGTCGACCCATGATCCTGGGGGATCTGAGGGATCTTCGTCGGTCAGGCAGATGAAGCATCGTCGGGGTGCATCGGCGTGTTTCGCTGGAGGAAGAGCGGCTATGCCGGGTGTATCTTGGGTTTCTGACGGCATGGTTGAATAGCAACCTCGGGTCGCGTGCCGATCGGGTAGAATGGTGGTTGTAAAAGTGAAAGCGGTTTCGGTAAGAACGGTTTCTATTGCATTTTATGGCCGGTGTATTGCGAAAATAAAGTCGGTTCTAGTAATGAATGAGGGAACAAAAGAAAGCCTTGTCTTGTGCTGATGATGTTAGGATGTGGCACGGCAGTGGACGCGGCGGGCTGACCTAGCTAGAGTGGAGCCTGACATCACCATGGAATAACTCCCACTTGCCTCAGAATCATGCTTGGAGACGATCTCGGAAATAACCAATCAACGTAAGAGTATCTTTTCACAACTCATGTTCATTGATATATCAGCACCGAGTTTTTGCTTCTACCAAATTAAACCTATGAGCTTACTTTCCAGATCTACCTTACAATTGGGCTGATCAATCAGCTAAGGTCGCGAGGAAAAGGAGACAAAATCATCAAAACTCTTATCTCATGGGAAACAACCTCGATATTACAAGAGGATCATTGGATTTAGAGATACTACAAGGCTAATGGGAGATGAGGCTCATATTAGAATTACCAGGAGCTAAACATGTCTTTATCACAAGATTCTTCAAACCTCGAGGGGACCATGCCTTGCAAACGACCAGTCCTGGTGAACGCCAATCGAGCCCTCGTTGAACGGATATGCCTGATATCAGCTTTGTCAGGTCTCCAGCCTGATAACTCGATTATCCTGGGACGAGGCAATCATGTCTAACACTTACCGATAGTTTTGTAGCAGCACTCGTCATGCTTGTTATCAACAGCATGCATCTCTAGGTGGTTGGGAGCGACAGCGTTCAGCGTGGCACACTCTCGTTTGTTCAGATGGACGCCATGTTGACAAAAGATCTTATCTGGCTCACTTAGAGCTCACACCTGGGTCCAGGGTTGTTGGTGTACCAAAACAGATAATAGCACGCTGTTTGTGGAACATAGTAGACGTGAACAACTTGCAGGCCGTCACTTGACCATCGTAAAGAGCTTTACCCAATACCCCTGCCGTCATTAACCTTTTTATTTTCCGGGTTCCTGGACCTTCAACGGGAGCTAGTGATGTCTGATAAGTTGGTAGAAACGCATATTAAGTTCGTGGAGAAACATCGTGGCGCACTTTAACATTCACCCTCATGACAGCATCCACTGTACCAACAGAGTATCTTGTGGCCCATCTGCTGTGACCAGAGGATTTATATCAGGTAACCATAGTGTTAATCCATATGTTGTGTTGTACGATATTCCAAGATGCCAATGTCATCCTTTGGTGCGGTAGTATGAGCAAGTTTCGACACCAGGAAAGCGCAAGGTTGTGAAGCAGGCTTTTGACCGCAAAACAAAACACCCTGCCCACTGATTGTCACCGTATTACTCGTAATGCACCTTGAACTCCCACCCAAACTCATTTAAAGAATGCTCCCCGCCTCTCTCGGTGTTTGAGGAGTGGTGTCGCAAGAACTCCCAACCATGGCGCCTACGCACAAGACACCATTCGCACTGGTCCTCGCTGAATTGGCCATCTCGATCACAGCAGTGACTCTCTTTAGTCTCATGTATCCTGTAGGATTCAGATCACGACTATGGGAGAACGGTGGCGAACAAGGATGGAACTCCAATCCTAATAAGCGGATTTACTATTACGCCAACCATCAAGAGCCACCCGAAGTGCCTCTGATTTGGAGTCAAAGGTACGATATCCCAAGACTCGATACTCTAAGGCATGTTTATAGGAAGCGTACTGATGTTAAGCGTCTCTAGACTCTACACCTCGAACCTCGCCATCGCCATTCTTGGGATAGTCGTCTTCTTCGCCCGCACCGCCATGTCACATCTTCGATACCTCCCCCGCTACGTAAATAACATCTACGATACGATCCTTCTCGCGCTCTGGGCAGTGAGCATTGCGGGTCAAACGTCGAGCGACTTTACCGATCCTGAACACCCAAGTCCACATCCTTGGTACCTAACCAGAGGGTGTTCTGCGGCTTGGGATAAAACCCAAGGGTATTGCCAAATCGCACAGGCGAGCTTTGCCATGTCAGTCATAGCTGTGATACTATATGGTGCGAGGTTGATACGAGAGGCTATGTTGATAGCATACGAAAGAGGGCAGCGTCACCAGTCGAAGTGGCCTGTCCAGGATGTTCAAGAGGTGGAATCAATGGCGGGTGTATATGTGGATGAAGAAGGGGAATCCGAGGTCAAGTTAACAACAAAAGAAGGCTGGCATAGTATGGCTTTGAGTCCAGTTCTAGCATTCTTCCCATCCTCAGACAATCGTTGGTAGAGATAGATCTGCTGGCCCAGTTGGAAACAGGCCACCAGCTGAGTTTGGGATAGCACATTCACAATACAAGCATGATACATCATTGTCAAGCCTTCAGACTGCAATTTGTGATCGTCATTTAGTTCTGAGACTTGCACTTTAGTGCCGACAAGAAGTAATGAGTGGATCCATCGTTAACCACCGTCCGCGTTCCCATTCCCCATGTCCCATCCATCAGGGTTCCCGTCGAAGGCGTTGAAGAATAGTTTATTTGTGCTTGATTGGTATACGTTAGTCCTCGGTCCGTTGAGACATGCACCAGACCAGGGAAAACTTACAGGGCAGCCGGCGCAGGTGCAGCTGGAGCCGCAGCCGCAAGAGCCAGAAGAAGCGCATCCACAGCCAGACATGATGATGGTTGTTTTTGAAGGTTGGTGTTGAAGATTGTTTGTTTGTTTGTTTTTGAGTTTGTGATGTGAAGTTGAGATGTGGAGAGTTGATTGAGGAGAAGGAAAATAGCGGGTGGATAAGAGGGGAGGTTCTTTTAAATGACGGTAGAGGGCCAGGCTGATTCACTGACAGTGGGCAAGAAGGAGTCACGGCGGGTCAAAATCAGTGGTTGGCGCAGTTTCACACCAACCTGAGTTTCCCTTTGGCCGCCTGAAACGGCTCCTCAATGGCTCGATTTCTCAAGCTTGACCATTCCCATCGGCAGATCTTCCCAACTGAGTGTAACTACTTGGTGCACCTCGCTAGGAGGCGTCGAATGACGTGGGGAGTCAGGATCATGGTACTTGATGATTGGTGCAGTCTAGTGTTTCCTTTCCTACGTCGGAAGATCAATGGAATGGAATTCACCGAGTTCCGATGGAGAACTGCGTTTCCAGACCATTAGCGATTCAGTACTATAGTCTAAGTTGTTCTCTGCTTGTAAAAACCACGTCTTGGGCTTGAAGAAACATGTGTAGATAAGTTCGGTTCATGAGTGCCTGGCCTCAGCCAAGTTTCCAAATCTCAACTCACATTAAGTACCTCCCAGGTTCTATTATAAACGTCAGTTCTTACATCTATCCATATATATATTCAATTCCTTGACTATACTCCAGCGGAACAGTTATTTTCGCTCTTTTTCTTGCACCGTCTATCTGTGTCTTGGGCCTAGGCTGTCCCAGGTCAGCGGGGTATGGAGGGGTAAGTGTCTCAGGGTCCAAAAGTGACGTCTAATGTCTGATATTCGCCTCAGTTACACAAATCCAAGATATTGTATCATTATCCTGCGCATTCTTGCTCAAGATCTGATCCTTGTCAACGCAAGATCAACCATCATTTGAAGATATTGATACCTGCTCATCTCGATGCCACCAGGTGCGAAACAAGAAACGACAGCTCGTATTACGGCTGTAAGCATTTCTCACGTAACCGGCCAGCAATTGCAATATTAGCTCAATATCTCCTTGATCCTTGAACGTGCAGAAGTTACCCGAGCCTCATAGAGATGTACCACGCATAGCCGGCGTTGAACAAGGCCAAGACAACTTGTTCGCGATATTTGTGTTTTCTAGCGCTCTAACGAAGTATTTCGTGAAAGCTGCTTGTCATGGTGCAGACTCGCGGCTCAACCCCATAATCAGACATGTCGCTTTACAGTCTATAATATACAAAGAACAAAGAACTCACTCGCTGATAACTCGTGGACCAAAATACCCCCGGTTGGCTGGTGAAAATGGCTTGCATCCCTATCCAACGCCATGCGCCTTGGTTATCCAATCATTCTTTCTTTTCCCGACTCACTTCCTCGCGAACCTCTCTCACCACATTCATGAATTGGCTCGCACCGAGAGCCGTCAAAATATGCCACCAGCCATGGAACTCAAGAAGCCAAGCCCAGGGTAGTCCAATGCGCTGTCGAAAGTTCCTTAGCTCAGCGCAGAATTCAAGATCGAGGTTCCAAATGAAATAGCCAAACAGGCAGGTGAACGTCGCAGTCCATACTCGGATAGACCAATCGCGTACATTCTCTTCGGGAAATGTTGGCTTGGCCCAGTGGAAAAGATAGCGAACACGCACGCCGATGACGATGAGCGAAACCCAGAAGCCGATGACCTGATAAATGATCTTGGCAGATCTAACGTAGAATACCGAGAAGGAAATGAAGAAGACTGCCAGGACGATCGAGATGTAGCGAATGTTCTGAGGAGACTGTCGTAAGATGACGAGGGAACGAAGCATCGACCAAGACAGCAACAGCATTGACAGTTCATCGACAAATTCCAACGTCTGGCGAAGAGTCGCATGGAAGAGAAATGACCCAAAGCCAAGAATCAAGAGCGAAACAGACATAAAGTCCCATTTCGGATCAAACAATCCACGACTGCGACTACGCGAGCCATACATGGACCGAAGAGCCAAGTAAACTACAAGCCAGAAAGGTCAGCTGGAGCCAAGGTTTCGGGTCTTGCGGCGTCACACAAGTACTTACCGTACATGACGTTTGTCAATGCATTGATGAATTCGGCCAGGTAGAATGTCACAGCATAGTCTTCCTCACAAAAGCTGTGATCAAAGTTAGTGAACCATCAATACCATTGACAGCTAGGGTGACGTCGTACTTGGCCCTGCTGGTAGGGGGACTCCAAACTCCACTCAGCGAGTGAGGATCGCCGTCGAAACGAAGGTTATGATGTCCCATCTTGACTATATCTCGTCGAAAATATTAAAGACTGTGGTTAGTTCTCCTCGTTGATTTCTTCTTCTTCTTTGCTTTGGTCGAGGCGTGAAGGAACGAAGATGCCAGTGGGCGTTGGCTCGGGGATAATCACGTGGCAGCATTCCCTGCTTTTTCTCATCGGTGACCCGCGGCTCATGATGAATCACTGACGAAAAAAAGGCCTGTATTTATTATTTTCTGGTTTTCTATGAAAGCGACCAATAACGACCGTTTCAACGAATCATGAACAGTCTATCGTGCTGCCATTTTTCGCACCGAACCCGCTTTCTCGTTAAGGGCTGAACAGGATGAGCAGACAGTGGGTGATAGAGGGGCGACTAGATTCAAGACAGCCTCGGTTACTCGCGTCCTCTCATGATCTCTCTCGTCCCTTGTAATTCCTCCCAAAAATTGTTGGCCATTACGTGTTCTCGCTCAGGACCTTCTTTTTTCGCTTCGGGCATGTACTCTTATGGATCGGCCACGTGGTGGTTGTTGAAGAACGACTGGTAACTGGTCAGACTTGTGATCTTCTGAAGAGTTTTTTTTTCTCAACTTACTATTGTCGCAGCTCTTGGGAGCTCAAAATTCCTCCGGGTCTTGAAGCATCGTCGCTTCTCAGTGACCCTTCACGACTCCAGTGTCTGGGACATAGATGGGCCGCGGGAGCTGTCCAGCCAAGGCGTACTACACCTCACGATAGGCAAACTGCATAGACTCGACGATGAATAGAGTGGCATCAAATCTCTCTACTCCCTTGTCCTCCGTCTTTCGCTCCCTAGCCACGTATTTTCGCGTTCGCAGGCAAACCGACATTGCCCAAAGGTCATCGCGCTTCGCCTTGGTAGCAATCAGAGGAGCCATCCAGTCGAGGTAAGCCTTGATACCAGAGCCGATGGTATCGGGGACGCGTATGAGTCGTATGAGTCCGACGACGTGGTGATGAAGGCGTGGCGACTGCTTCACAGTGGCCTGGCTGTAGATCCAAGGCTGGTACAGTCCTGGCGGTCCTTTGTACATCTCAGGAGGGGTGAAGCGGAAGCTGTACCATGTCCCATCACCAAGCTCGCGGTGCCAGTAGACTCCCCATTCGAATTTCTCGGACCCTACAACATGTTGTGAGGTTCCCTCTAAGCCTCGAAGATGTACAACTTCGATATTGCTTGTGTCGACATCGTAAATATGAGCAATGGTATGAGGTGGCTCCTCGGGAACGGAGATCGTCATGTACAGCGTGAAGGGCTGTAGCTGTTGGGTTGGGTAACTCATCTTGAGGCCTTCTCTCGCTTCACCTCTGGTGTAGGAACCGCCGACGATTTGCTAAAGTGAAGCTCATGGGGATGCTCAGGTGTGTTTGCAGGGTAAGTAAACTAACTCAGCACGGAAAGCCTTGAATCCTGCTGAAGTTCACAGAGCACAAGCTCAGATTGTCTAGGCACTGGCAGTCAGCTGTCTGTGAATTTTTTGCAAATAAATGCCCAAACAACAGATCATGATCATGACCGTATTCGTCACGCATCATTGTTTGCATTCGTCTGTAGCGCAAGTTCGCTGCTAGTGTGACTTGAAGAAATTGAGTTGATTGATACCCTGGACTTTGGCTGCTTCAAAAATCTACGGTATCGCGTGGTAATATTTCGGAGTTTTGTTCGTATCATGAGTTCTCGTGTCTCAAAAGGCCCCGGGCATCGGCATGATGTACTCTCTAGCCCAAGCAACATCCATAAGATGAGCTATTATAACGGACCGACCATTTGACAACCGCACCTATCTCTGCGCAAAGAGAAACGCCAACCCCACAGCAGAACCACTCCGTCTCGCAACTTAGCCGTTACGGCGCTCGCTAAAGCGCCGAGAACTTGACCACACGATCAATTGCGCTACACGTTCTGGGGAAGCTCTCATGCTGTACGCCGATAGGTGGGGATATATTCGGGGGTTGTTGAGGGGTCAAAGAGAAGATGTGAAAGTGTTTAATGAGAATTTTCAGCTCAGACTGTCCTTGAACACAAGTTTTTGACACATTTTAGGATCACGAAGCCTTTCACATACAAGGCACCCGACCTTTGTGACAACTTTAATAGCAAAACCACAGAAACTCAATTGCGACAATAGAAATCTACGTCATATCATCAACAGCTGGTCCACGATCCCCCGAGGGGCAATAGCGGGGCATTTTAGCAACCTTGCAACGACAGCTTCTCACGCGATAAAGCTTGCGACGAATACAAAAACTCGTAATTGTCGCTTCTGAAGCAAGAAAGCCAATCGCAAACATATACTGTATCATACACTTTCATCATGACCGGTACCGTGCCCGTTGCCAACGCCTTGAGCGACATCTATCCTCCTGCGGCGCTCGCTGAGCAGGGTCCACGATGGAATAACCTTCTCAGCAAGTTTGAGTCTACCTACGGACATGCTGCTTCTTTCGTCGCTCGCTCCCCTGGACGAGTTAACATTATTGGAGAGCACATTGACTACTCTCTCTACTCGGTGCTGCCCATGGCCATTACTGCCGACACCCTTCTCGCCGTTTCCGCTACACCCGCCGCCCAGGATGCCAAGTCCTTTCGCATCCGCATCGCCAACGTTGAGGATGACAAGTTTGAGGCCGCTGACTTTGAGGTCCCCTTTGACGGGGATGTTTCAATCGACGCGACCAAGCTAGAATGGACCAACTACTTCAAGAGTGGTCTAAAGGGTGTGCTGGACCTGTTGAGGAAGAAGTATGGAAAGGATTTCAAACCATGCAGCATGAATCTGCTTATGGATGGCACTGTACCTGTTGGTGGAGGTCTTAGCTCAAGTGCTGCTGTGGTCAGCACGAGCTCACTAGCTATCATGTTGGCCAATGGTGAGAAGACGGTGGACAAGACTGAGCTGACTGAGCTTGCCATCGTGAACGAGCGTGCGGTAGGAGTTAACTCGGGAGGGTATGTAACATTGACCTTCAACAACGATCATAATCCCACTAACAATGACCCAACAGTATGGATCAAGCTGCCTCTGTCTTCTCTGAGAAGGGTGCCGCTACCTTCGTTTCATTCAGTCCAAGCCTCAAGGCTAAGCCAGTTCACTTCCCTCCCACAAATCCCGAAATCACATTCGTTATCGTGCAGTCCTTTGTCACATCAAACAAGCAGGTCACAGGCCCCATCCACTACAACCTTCGTGTAGTCGAGTGTAGCATTGCTGCATCCTACCTCAACGCAGTTCTGAATCCACCCGGCACACAACTCCCCGAGGATGCAGGCCCCCTGGGCGTCAGTCTCGGAGGTTTCCATGAAACTTTCTTTTACCACCAGAGCGGCTCAGATTACTCCGCTGCCAAGACCCTGACCAAGGAGGAGGAGCTAGAGAAGTTGATCGAGATCACTGAGAAGACCCTGACACAGGAGGAGGGATACACACGGGAGGAGGTAGCCAAGGCTCTGAACATCACGGTCGAGGATCTCGAGAAGCGTTTCATGTCCAAGCTTCCAGTACGTGCCGAGCGCTTCAAGCTCCGCCAGCGAGCTCTGCATGTGTTTAGGGAGGCACACCGGGTTCTTCGTTTCATGAAGCTGCTCGAGAACCCTGTCCACACAGGAGCTACCGACACAACCAAGTTCAACAAAGAACTTGGTTCGCTGCTGAACGAAACCCAAGTATCATGCCGGGATTTGTACGAGTGCAGCTGTCCCGAGCTTGACGAGATCTGTGCTATTTCCCTTCGGGAAGGATCTTACGGAGCCCGTGTGACCGGTGCCGGTTGGGGAGGTTGCAGTGTGCACATGGTGCCGGCGGATAAGGTCGAGGCTGTGACACAGGCCCTTGAGCGGGAGTATTTCTCCAAGAAGAACTTGACGGAGGAACAGAAGAAGGGGGCCGTTGTGGTGAGCCGGCCGGCAACCGGAAGTGCCATCTACTATGTCAAGGACGGCGTGAAGCCTTAAGGTGTAATCTTAAGACGGATAAATATGTATAAGCATATTAGCAGTAAATAGTGCATCGAGGAACAAGAAGCATAAAGTGAACGGCAGCAAAGGTCCGGTTGATCATACACATGGTCAAGGATTCAAGGGAATTTTACAAAATGTTGAAATTGAATGTCACTTGGGGGCCTTTTTGGGCACATATCCCACCTGAGGCCCGATGGCTTGGTCAGTCCTTGTACGAGCAGATCACCGATGTGACGCGTCGTTCTAGCCTGGACAATTATTATCCGTAAGTGGGAGTAATACCCTATTTGAGGAACTTATGTGAGGCTCCGAATATGCTGAACAAGCCGGCAAGGCAAGGGAGAGAGTGCGATGTCACGCTTTGAATTGCCGGACGCGATCACACGCAAATGCCGAGATGACAACGAAACCTTAAGGGGATGAAGCATATTGCGCTTCCGGAATGCACGGGTTTTGGTGACAAGAGGCATCGTTGGACGGAAGAGGACACGCCAAATTTCCGGTCAGGGGTGGTCTGTTTTTAGGCGTCTAGAAGATGAAGAGTGGCGGCGTGGTAGTGGCGATGAGGTTTAGGGACAGTATTTAGAGTTTCCTCTAATTATTGGAAGGGTGACAACTTGGACGTTGCAGAATGACATGGTTAGAGGTGCTTGGGAAAATCAAGATCGACAGGGTCGCTTCGAGTCTATGGTTCTGGATACGAGCGAGAACATTGATGCCATCGTGATCCTTGCTTCTTGGTACCCGATTCCCCGGGTCGATGCTTTTTTTTTTTTTTTTTGGGAGCAACAAGATTAATTAATGCAGGCCTGGGGACAGCGCAACCGTCACGGAAGCAGGCCGAAAGATGTTAGAGAACGAACAAGGGTAGTGAGGATCTGGACCATCATATCTTCCGATGTGTCAGCACTTCAAGTCATACATTCCCAGTCTAGCTTCTTTAATGGGGGGTAATTAAGCCGAAAGAGTTGGATTCTGGGGGTGGAGAGCTGGAATAAATTGAGGCGGACGAATCAGAAACATGATCCTGGCTGGAGTAAGGGTAAACGTGGGAGGATTGGAATTCGAGAGAAGAGGAGCCTGGTTCCTGGGCATTTTTGTCATTGTCTAATGAAGCCTCACGTCACTTTTGGAGCTCATTTCAAGCTTTTAAGCTTTTGTGCGTGAGAATAATGCAAGGGCAATGGCATAATTGGCTGAGAAATGTGGTGTTTGTGGCGGCTTCTATTTGATATCATAAATGGCTTGGCTTATCTGAGGATTTGATTTGGAGTTGTCGTGATTAATGGCCCGGCGTGATGCTGACTGGCTGAACACCGAAACTATTATTGGTTACACGGCTTTAACTAGGGTGTTCATAATCGCCGTTCCTGGGCACCTTAAAGATCTTTGTGAGACGACGAATTCATTCTTACAGGGCAAGATGTCCTCATTTCTTACTGTGCTGCAGCACGATGTCTGAGATAAGATCTTAGGCCTCATGGCATTAATGTTCTTATTTTATTGTAAGGATTGCACAACTTGACTTGTCCTTCAACCACTAACACAACACAAACCCAAGCATTGGTCTATGCTTCCAACCAAGGCTGGGGCTACTGCAAGAATCTCACCATGTCTCCTCGTCTCCAGGCCAAGGACGATCCCATCACGAGATATTTTCACCTAAGAGTGCAGTTGCCGTTGCATGCCCGGGGCGGCGCGGCGCGGATCCGGATCAGTTTCCACGGTTTCTCCATGTCGTTTTTGGTGGAGCATGAAATGTCGAGTTGCAACGTCGAGACGTAAGTTGGCCAGTAAAGATGATCATTTCGGCAACGTTTATTATTGAGAGCCTGGGCAGGCGAGCGAGTGGGATAATTAGATATCTTTCTGGTGTTGTGTTGAGAGTTGAGGCTGGTGAAGGGAAGGGATGCTTGTCGTGATGTGATTGATGTCTAGCAGCGGTGAATATTCTTAGACCGAGTCTGAGTCGATATCACTCTGAACCATACTAGCCAGGTATCATCAGCTCATGCCGCATGACGATCTCGAGTCGGCGAGTTGTGCTGTAGATCACGTTCTGGACTGACTAGGCCAACGTTAGCTGTCATTGTCGCTGTCGTTCTCGTCATCTGTTAGGTAGTAATATGATGCCGCCGTTGAAACACCCCTGTGTCCCAGCAATGCATAAGGTTCTGATCATAGCAAGCGCACAGCCCATGTATACTCCACAGAGTTGCAACTCTCTGGTCTTTTGCCGGTATATTGGTTCATCTATCCGAACAATCTTCCATGGCCTCGTTCTGGATCTCCACGGTTATGAGTGCCGAGCGAGGCTAGTCCCTGAGTTTCAAGGGTCGTCCTTGATTGAAGCTATTCCGAGGATAGGTATTGTATTAGTCGTTTAGTATTGATCTACGGGTAGTTGCAGTACTCGGTCAATAATTTCCAGCGGCATGCATGCACCCTAAACTTATGTCTTGTCAAGGCATGGCATGCTGGGCTACTTCTTGGGCTGGACTCTATTGGGTTGTCGTAATTCTCCAACATGAGGGCCAAGTCGGGTTTAGGGCCAGGCGGTGCCATCCATGCCATGCCTCTTGTTCATTACTTGGGTTCCCCTCCTTCGATCGTCACTGCGAGCGGATTTTTCCTCATCTTTACAAGTATTTCATCTCTTCTTCTCCTTCTTCTCTAATCTCATCGTTGCCCTGTCCTTTTGGATACTCAAAGCGCTTCAGTATAATAATAATAACCACTTGTCACCCCCTCTAGTTTCAGACCATCTCTTCTGGCCTTGGCTCCAACTGTCCCCGCTCATATCTTTCCTCTTACTCTTACCCCAGAGCAACTGTATCGCATACCGCTATCTCACCCGCTATCAGTTGATCCCTGTTGTCCCCGGGAACGGCTTTTCATTCGCGAAGCAGCTTCAACAATCTGTCATTCTTTTTGGTTGCCTCATTCTCTTGTTGTCTCTAATTCCCACTATATACCCGCTGACTCCGATTCCTTCTCGTCCCTTTTTATTTCTGACCTTTCACTGCACTCTGTTGCTGTCGTTATCGGCTTCCATCTTCACTGTGGGAGCCCTGACCCAGCCCCATACCGGCCCAGATCCACTAACTTTGGGGGTTAAGTCGCTGGACTCCACTACCCATTCAATCGGAGCGAGTTCTTCTCTTCAGCCCTGATTTGACTTTGCTCGTCCTCTTCCATCATCACAATCATCATGGCTCCGGACTCGTGGTCCGACGCCGATAGCGTGTCGCAGGCTTCGCAGCATTCTCAAATGTCTAATCAGGATAATTCTCTTGATCGGCAGCTGATCCGCCATTTGATGCAACGCTATGGTCGTGATGGCATTGCTCAATTGATAAACGAGGAGGCAAATTCATCTTCCATCTCCAGTGAGTAATTAATTTGACTTCCCACTGTCATCGCTAACATCGTGTCTTCTAGTCAACGATGGAGCATCTGTAGTTACTTCAAGTACCTTTTCTTCTGTAAAGTCTGAGGAAACCCCAAGCATCTTCGATAAAGCTAGCATACGAACTTTTTCATCCGACAACTCATCGACTCGAGGCAGTATCATCTCCAACGTATCCGCCCGCACTGCCAAGCTTCTTGGTCGCAAACAGGCTGCTCGCCCTTCCATCACCCACGAGGAGGAAACGTCACCAGCATCCAATGAATCGTCAACACCAGCACCCAAGCAAAAGGGCTCTTTCACATGTGGCTTTTGCAGGGAAGAAGGCATTCAGAAGACGTGTACCCGTAAAAACGACTTGAAGAGGCACATCGAGGATTTCCACAACACCAATGCCCAATGGTTCTGTCGGCAAAAGGGTTGCGATATGGTTTTTGACTGGCAAACAGCATACAAAACCCATTTAAAACAAGCTCACGGTGGTTCGCGCATGGCTCTTGATGAAGCCAAGGTCAACCTATGTCCTCAAACTGTTTTTGCTTGTGGTTTTGAGAACTGCTCTCAAGTTTTTGAATCTCCCAACGATGACGAAGCCGATACGATCTTCAAGGAATTTGTGGCCCATGTGGTCAAGCATTTCGACGAAGGCTCCAACAGCGGAGAGTGGACTTATTCTGCAAGGATGCGAAACCTCCTTCGACAATCTGGTCTGGTGCGTGCCTGGCAGGGCACTTCATGGGGTGAGGATGAACGAAGTCAGTTGCAGTGGCACCCTCAGTCCAGCGGCATTCTCAGGAAACGCCTTGAAACGAGACATCTCGGTGACCTGCAACTTCTTGTTCAGTATGCTATTGCCCTTGGCACAGAGCCTTCGTCGATCAAAGAGTATCGCGAAGATTTCATCAACCCTCTCAAGGATCAATGCCGCCAGGTCATCATGGGACACAAGTCTCGAGCACCTCCTCTGCCACCCTCGGGCCCGTCTCCAAGTACGGACCAGCACCAATTCCGCATCTCTCGAGGAACCACAAACCCCAACATGGCATACATGGCTCAACGTCGCGCCTATGCTCATAGACCCGGACCTCTTCGTTCTGGCCGATCCGCTCCGGCTCCGCGCCACACCATGCCCGTTAGTTCGGCAACTCCTGGAGCTATGCCGCACCATTTCCAGTACAACATGGCTTCAGCACCCATGTATGATCCCCGGCAACAGCAACAATTTGCAATGATGCAGCAAGCTAGTGGAGGCATCATTGCCGAGGACTTGCGGAGTTTCCAGTCTATTGCTGGCAATGTTCCAGAGCAGGACATTGACATGCCGGATACTGATATGATGGACTCTACATTCATGTCAAGTCCAAGCTTTTCAGGTCCATATGGACCTCAAGGTATTACGACCGCTGCTGATGGAGCATGTATTACATCCACAGACCCCATGAACCCACACATACAGTTTGGGTTTGACTCAACATACACATAACAAAGCAGACGTGTGAAGCTCGCTTCATGTTGATCTTGCAAACTGTCCCTATTCTTCTTCTTTGTCTATATATCTGTCGGTGAAACAGCAGACATGACGTGTCCCCTAGCACCAGTTTTCTTATGGTTATTTATGGATGGGAGTAGTTTGGAAGTATTTCATGGTTATGCTATTGCTCAAAAGCCAGGATTGTGTTTGAGTGTGTTCAAGGTATGGGAGTTTGTTTGGTATGGCTGATAGGTTACACATCTTGGTGTATTGGATTTGATACCCCCTGCTTGAATGAATAGCATTATTTCCCAGGATACAACTGTATATGTGATTACTACGACCCATAAGCTCTGTGCCATGTGTATCCTCGTGATGTTATGATACCGTTATAGTCAGGACCATACTCGTTCACTCAAGCATAGTATGCCAATGTCCGATCCGTGAGGTCCCCACTGCACGTTCCTCTAAGTCTAAGGCGGTGACATGTCCCTGTGGTGATCGAGGTAGCCGGTCAGCCTCGGAGCGACGGATATCTGCCCCAAGCTTCTGAGTTTAAGCAAGATGTCGATCGCGATATTACACTTCTGACAAAACAACTCTGAAACAAGGGACAACCTAGATCAAGGTAGAAACAAAATGCAATAGAGTTTACAAGGTGCGGCGTATTCCGAGGTTCACGTATCCCTCTATCGACTTGTCAGCGGAAGTGATGGATGAATATGTGCGTTACATGGTGTTGACGCTAAAGTCACAACCGCAACTGCCGTGAGTGACTGTGTCGTCAGTGACATTCCTTGTAGATACAAGTGCATAGAATGTCTTGTTTGGGCAATACGATCTGCCAAGAAAGTTTATGTTAAGGGCAAATACAACTGTACAGAGTTCTCCCTGACGGACGGCGTTATACAGGGTAGCAGCCGTTGACATGGAGTCATGGACTACGAGTCCGTTGTCCCGAGGCTATGATAGAGTTTACACGGAAAAATTCTCTCCATCTGATAACTTGTGAAGATGAGTATCGAGATTTGGATCTTTGCTTGGATCTAGGTACCGAACTCGCGGTTCGACATATATCCGAAATGAGGTGATATTGCCTTCATCGCATACACGTCTCATCAACTAACAAAGTAAAACCTCTATGATTCCGAGAGAGTCACCTAGCTCTCGTCTAAAAATGTTTCATGGCGTCTTATTTCATCCTGTTAATGGTCAAGAAGCAGAGTCACCAAGTGATCAGTGCCGCTCTTTGGGATGAAAAATAGCAAGCGGCATATACAAGAAGGCTGAAGCACAGTCAAAAGCCCGTACGGAAACCAGCTTCACGGACGAGGCCTAAGCACTCTCTACGACAAGGATCCCCGCGAGGTCGAGATAAGGACCTGGGGGGGGGCTTGCGGGAGGCTCTCCCGATAAACCCAGAGTAGATGATGCCGCGGCAGAGAAAGTTTATGGCGGCTTGTCATTCTTGATTACAGTGCATGTCGAAATGTCACATAATGTGTTTACATGAGTTTGTGGCTTGACGTCCGAGAACATGAGCGAGTTAGAGGCAGGCAAAAATAGATGTCAGCTTTTGGCGTTGTTTCCTTGAGCTCAATGGAAAGGCAAGAAAGAGGGTTATCCCTGACAGGGGTTCTCTGGACAACAGGCTGTATGTAAGTTGGAGGTCAAGTGAAACTCTTGGGGATGCTGGAGATAGGGGACCTGCATAACCTCCACGTGGAGTGCGGACCAAGAAGGGGAATGGCTGCGATGCTGTGATAAGAACTGATGGACTTGGCTGCCCTCCAGTTGAGTTAATTGCTTGACACGGACACACTGGAGAGCAGCCAACGGACAAACTCCTTTGCGCTGTAAGTTAAGGTTGTGTCTCCAGGTCCAGACAAAGATCTACAGGACGGGTGGACCACGTGGGAGAGCGTTACAGGAGGTTTCACCTCTTCCCTCCACTTCCTTCACTCGAGTTTGATGTTGATCAAGAGCGTGACTGATTCATCATCATTCAGCATCATCGACGAAGGCTTCGTGAGGCTATGCTCCACGGATGAATCTTGCTCCATAAGTCATAACGTTCCATCGTGGCGTGGTATTAGAGTGGTCTCGACTCTAGTGGTTGCGGGGATATGAGCTGAACAAGTCCTCAGGTCCTAGGGTAAATGAGTTACATGATAACTTAGTGATGCACCAGCACGGGCAAATCGGAAGACTTGGGTTAATGACAAGGGTTCCCGATAGAGGATAGGATGCCTCGCAAACGACAAGAACAGAA